TGCTATTTATATTTCTGGCATGGCAACAGTAAGTGTTGCTAGGCGACCGCAGACGATTTTTATCGAAGGTTTGATATTTTTAAACATAAATTCAGCAGACGATTTACCATTATAGCTTCATTTGTGTTGTTGACAGTAAATTGAAAAGTTCTTCTCTTTCAAAAAATGGAATTGAATCGTGAACATTTTCGTGCCATTATTTTTCATAACTTTCGACGTGGATTGTCAAGACAAGAGTGCTTCGATGAACTTAATTCTTTATTCAGCGATAAAGCGCCATCCTACAGCACTGTAAAAAATTGGTATAACGAATTTAATCGTGGTCGATGTTCGATCCAGGACGAATCCCGTGCAGGTCGTCCAAAATCCGTTGTTGTGCCAGAAAAGATCGATGCTGTGCGTGAACTGATAAAGCAAGATCGTCATGTGACATACCGTGAGATAGAGGCGTCTTTGGACATTAGTATGACTAGCATCAATAAAATATTGCATGAACATTTGAGCGTAAAAAAAATTTGTTCGCGTTGGATCCCGCATAATCTGACAAACGCTCAAAAAAAGGCTCGTGTCGATTGGTGCAAGGAAATGTTGGAAAAATACGTTCAAGGTACATCAAAGGCTGTGTATAACATCTACACAGGTGACGAATCATGGATCTATGCATATGAGCCGGAAACAAAACAGCAATCAACTGTATGGGTCTTCCAAGACGAGGCAAAACCAACAAAAGTTGTTCGAGGAAGAAGCACATCGAAACAAATGATTGCCTGTTTCTTCGGCATTAACGGTCATGTGGCAACAGTGGCGTTAGAGCAACGCAGGACGGTCAATTCTGAATGGTACACGACCATTTGTTTGCCAGAAGTCATCGGAGAAATTCGAAAAAAGCAGAAGAACAGGCGAATCATTCTTCATCATGACAATGCGAGCTCTCACACATCGACTCAAACAAAGGCATTTCTGACGGAGCGAAAGATCGAACTGATGGGTCATCCGCCGTACAGCCCTGATTTGGCACCCAATGACTTCTTCTTATTCCCACACATCAAAAATAAATTACGTGGACAACGATTTTCGACCCCCGAAGAAGCGGTTGATGCATTCAAAACGCATGTTTTGGAGTTACCTCAATCGGACTGGAAAAAGTGCTTTGAAAATTGGTTCAAACGCATGCAAAAGTGTATTGATCATCATGGAGAATATTTTGAAAAACAATAAAACCAATTTCGATCCTACATATTTGTTATTTCATTATTAGGCCAGAAATATAAATAGCAACCCTCGTACAACTTATGACGGGAAAAAAAGTATGGTCAAAACAATGAGAATATGGTGACATTTACCGTGTTTCTGACTCTATGGGAATATCAAAATGCTCCGTAGTTTTTACCAAAGCTCTTTGGTAATGATTTTGGTGAAATTAAAAATAAAATATGGTTTTATAATATGTGATAAAATTTGGTAAATATGGAAAAATTTGGTAATTTTGTCAACCTTAGAGCATGGTATAGAAATCACTTATTTAATTAAATTTACTTTTCAGTTTTGTACTTTTTACTAAATGTGTGGTTATAAGAACTATAATTTTAAAAAAAATAGAATTTTCGGTAAACCGTTGCATTATAAACGAAGAAATTGCCTAATGAATTGTTTAATACCGTATATTTTGGTTTTAGTAACCAATATTTTATTTTTTCAACAAAAGATGTCAATATCATACCATACGGTAATTTTACCAGATTTTTTTCTCTGTGTAAATAAATAGATACACAGCAAAAGTTAGCATTTGCTGCACTGAATTACTGACTTTGAGAGAAAAAATAATTCATAACGAATACGATTTTTTAAAAAAAATTTCTTTTTATGCTTCTAATATAAATTTGTAAAATTATTCCACTGAAATTTAATCTGTAAAAGAAAAGAAGATTTTGTTATGAAAAGAAAAACAATGATAGTTCAGTTCATTTCAATTCATCACAATTTTTATTTATTTATAAATCAAACGTAGATTGTACCATTAGACAGTTAAGGACTTAATACTCAAGTACAACATATGCTTAATTTTTAATTCTTACGAAATAGTTTGCTGCAAAGAAATGTGTAGTAATCTGGTAGAATCTTTTAAATAACGGAAATGTAATATTTTGTTTTTTAGTTAAGTCTATTATTACAATATTTTAATTATATTTTTTATTTCACTTGTTATGGTTTTGTAAGCAGTTCGGTGACATGCACGATTGATGCACACATTTTTTACGCGGTTATTTTTCTTTCTGCTCTAATTTTCTTTTTTCTCCATTTTCTTTCTTTTTTCTTTCTTTTTTCTATTTCCTTTCTTCTCTGTTTTTCTTTCTTCTCTATTTTCTTTTTTCTTTCTTCTTTATTTTCTTTCTTTTTTTCTATTTTTTTTTCTTCTTCTCAAGATTTTTCTTCTCTATTTTCTTTCTTTTTTCTATTTTTCTTTCTTCTTTTTTAACTTATTTATAAAGGTTGCAGAGGATAAAAGATGATAATAGCGTATTTTTTCTTAGTACATAAAGGAAATTGCGATTTGATTTAAATATTTTAGCCTCTCTCTATTTTTTCTTGTTTTTAAATATTTATTTTTATATTGCTTGGCGTGCTTTTTTAATCTTTTTAAACTAAAAAATAAATATTTTTTTATTTCCTAATAGTTACTACCTATAGCAATCATTATAAAGCACTTAGAGTAAAAAAATATTTAATAGTTAATCATAAAATGCTTATGTATTTTATTTCGCTTAGTAAAACAGAAGTTAAAAAAATTCGAAGTAAGTTTAATTTTAAGTTTTTAATTATTATTATTTGTTTTTTTTATTAATTAATTTCGTATTAATTATTTGTTTCGATAAATTATGAAGTTTATAGACAAAAGTTAACGGAAAATTGAACTAAACAATTTTTATTATACTTTAAAGACTCATAAGTTTTATGTTCTTATTTGAAAATATCATGTCACGCAAATGGTTATATTTTCAGCATTTAACACAATTTGGAAAAGTTTTGGGTTAGTACAAATTTAATGATACTAATTTTTAAGAAGTGATATGTAATTTATATGTTTAAATTATCTTTATCAATAAAATATTATCTTTACGACTGAATTCATCTTAAAAATGCGTGTTTGGGTTTGAAAATAATTTCATTTGCATTTTTTCGGAATGCAATTTTGTTTTTCAGTTTTTGTGTAGATGTTCCATAACTATTCTTTTACGAGCTTGAACGATTTCAGTTAATTACAGGTCCTTTTTTGCTTTTTAAAATCTTTGCTTTTCTGTTCTTCCCTGCTGTTTAGATTTTTATAAACATAATATACGCTCCAAAGATATTGATAAAACATTATTATGATTTTTCTTTTAAAAAATAATAAATGACATTTCTAGACTTATCTGATAATTTTTTTTAGAAATTCACTATTATTTTTTAAAGGAATATGCACTTCAAAAACTAAGGCAACTTGCATGAAAATCCTTTGCTGTGACGTCACTCATCATGCACCTATGGTTGAAATTATTCTTAAAATAAAATACAAAACTTTGAAATAATTTTTTCGTGAAATATTATTAAAATCTAATTTATGGAATTTACTTTACTTTACGCAATTAAATATATTGTTATTATGAATATGAAACTAAAATAATTTTGTTGATTGATGCAGTAAATTAGAAACCATATTAGTATAAGCATCAACTAATGAAAATTTGATTCAAGTTAAATTCAAAACCATTCCTGTTGGATCATATGATGCATATATATTTTTTGCATACGACTACTAATATATACTGTATACGACTTTTTGTATACGACGACGACTTGTGTTTACGACTACTAATGCTCAACTCCGTAGCCTTGTAATTTTGAACCAATCCAGAAGACAAGGAAACTCCTGGATCAGTACCCCCAGAGGTATTGATTTTTTATGGGAACAGGGAGGACATTGCGATTCGACAGATTTAACGTGCACCAGTCACCATTTACAACACGGGGAGTCTTCGGTCAGCGGAGATCGAACCCACGAACTCTTGGACATGGGCCGAGTGCCTTACAAACCAGGCTCTGCTAATCAAGTTTATCAAATCAAAACTCAAATAGTAAAGTCCAGTATTTGCTACCACTGCAAATGTTCAAGAAAAATCTTCTGACCAAATAGAAGTTGGCCTACATGTTTTCATCAAGCTATTAAATTAAATTAAATAAAATTTGTTTAGATTATCTACTAAAGGCAGTACTTATAGACTAAAATGTGTCGCATTATTATTTATATGTTTTTTATAAGTGAAAAATAAATATAAATAATTGATTATAAATAATTAATAATTAATTAATTATAAATAATTAATAATTAATTAATTATAAATAATTAATAATTATTTTTAATAATTATTTTTTCCAATCCAGTGGCGGTTAATGACCCGCTCTCCCGTTTGGCATTTTCTTAAATAAAAAAAAATAATAAGAATTGATTCTTGTTCGATTGAATTCTTATTTTGTCCAGGTAACAAATTTAAAAAGAAATAAAAGCTTGCATAATAATTGCAACCATCCACAGCTGGAAGAAAAATCTCCAAACAAAGAACGAGTCGTCATAGGCCGCTGGATTGCAAATTAGCGTCCTGTGTCATGGGGCTAATATAGTCAATTAGATTTTTTTTTGAAGTTTACAAAAAAAGTATACTTCCAAATTAGCTCATGTTTGATTCAAAATGAAGATACCGCTTCAAATCTCAATAAAAAAAAATACTAGATATACTAAAATAAGGATTATAGTGCTTTTTTGCGAATCCTCAGAAAGTGGTCACACTACACCTCTTTTATAACTACAAATAAAGCTATTTTAAATTTAAGAGAGTGGACTCAAATGCTGGCACTATATATATGTTTATGAAGGTGTAGTTAAGTGTATGTTATGAAGTGTAGAGTGCAATAAAGTGTTTAATAATTTTTCTTAATTGTATTTTACTTTTTTTACACTGACTAAAAGTTATTTCTTTTGCTCTAGAGAAGGCTCGTTATCTGCAACCTCTGACCCTGGATGTTGCAGAGCAATTGTTTTTATTGCCCATGGGTATGGAGAACACTGTCTTCTGTATTGTCAATTGGCTCGACTATTAGCTTTTAACCGCTACTTCGTAATGACCCATGACCATGGTAAAAGAATTTATTATTTAATGCATGCATATTTTAATGCATGTTTGTGTTAATTCTAGAATGTATTTTTTTACAGCATAGAAATTATATTACGTTTGTGTAATGTCTTCTTCGACTTCAAAATATAATTACTCATTCCCGGTTGTTGTTGCTACTCATAATTTAAAAAGCTTTGTTGTGGAACACCATTCATCTAAAATGAAAGATTAAGGTACTCATTTCAATTCTTAGAATGGAATGCTAAAGGCACCTATGTTTAGGAAATTATTTAACCATCCGCGGAAGAACACCATCCGTTTAATAAAAAAAGTCACTTTACTCATTTTAATTCTTAGAATGGAATGCTATGAGTACTAATATTTGGAAATTTTTTTTTCATACTGTAGAACACCATTTGTCAAATAGGAAAAGCCACCATGCTCATTTTAATTCTTAGAATGGAATGCTAAAAGTACCTATGATTAGTAAATTGTTTCCAAAAATGTGACATCACAAAATACTTAAAGAATCACATTCCTAACAAATAGTTGTGACTTACTAGTACGCTGCGTGTTACAGTAAAAATCTTGGCTGTGGGTACCTTATCCAGTTATACTTTGCGAGAATTGAATAAACACGTACTTTTTTGATAATTTGTTCAGAAATATTTTATTTAGTGATGCATTAAGATTTAAGCTTTTCGATACGATGCAAAATATATTATATGCCTGCATTTTTATCTAAAATTATTTTAAAAGTTCCAAAACTCAGAATTATTTGATAGTATTTTATTATTATCATATGTTCAAATTATTCTGAACAGTGGTACAGTTTTATTTTCAGTTGGAAGGTATCACAGACATATGCAACGAGTACTTTTGTTGTGACTACGATCAGCAAACACTTAAAAGAAAGCAAAAAGAAAGAAAATTAAATAGTTGTAAAATGATAAAAACATGAAAAAGTAAAAAAGCAGAAACAATAAAATATATTTAACCAAGTTAAACATTGCAAATTATCATAAATTACTTGCATACGATTATATTATTATATGACCAGAATGACCTTTCCAGCTACTTAATTTCTTCAACAGAGGGCAGCACTAGAAATATTAACAGTCTTTTTGTTTGAATTAAATAAATAATTTATCCATCGTTTTTGTGAAACAAATTACGTCAGCCAGCGCCATGAATAAAATAAAATATATCTTGTATTCATTAATAATTTATTTTGTTTTTCTGGAGCTAATAAGTTATATTTATATATTTCAAACACAGAAAAGGAAATAGAATATGTTTTAGACAATATGATTAATCTAATTTTAAAAAACATTCAACGACATCTGTTGAGGCCTTTACTAAAATAAGATTAAAGAAATTTATTTAAAACTTATTTTTAAACTTTTATTTATTTAAGAATCTTCTATAATTTTTCAAATTATATAAGAAAATTTTTTTTTCTTATAAAATATTATCAGAAATATATTATCATTTTTTTAAAAATAGCGTAACAGAAGAAATTTAATTACATACAATACAAAATAAATAAATAAATAAATAAATAAAATAAATAAATAAATGCTGTAAATAGCTAAACATTTTAAAGATTATCTAATCATTGTCCTAAGCAAATATTATTTAAAAGATAATTACAGAAAATATTAAATATTTTAGTTTCTCTCACATAACACATGATAAACTTGGAATGTGACTCACACACTTTAATTTCTTTTAAATTTTTTCATTCCGCTTAAAAATTTCAATTTCTTTTAATTTCTTCGAAAGTTAAGTACAAAAATCAGCATGTAAACATTCACTTTGCTCCATACTATAGTGTTTCAAATATTTGTTAGGAAAGCACGAATATTTCTTGCTAATAACACATTGCTTTGCCATTCAGTCTATCGTGAGTGAGATTGCTTTTACCCATGAGAGTTTGTCCCGGACAAGCCATTTTATTTTCACTACTCTCATGGAGAAATTATTTACTGAAAATAAAATCTATTAAAGGAACACTAGAGACAAGATAGCTTGAAACAAAGTAATAAATTTGATAAAAATTCATCAAAAATTCTTTTATGCAAAAATCGGTCACTAAGCTCGACAATTTACAGACAGATCCTAAATGTAAGATTCAAAACGAGAAATTTAACAATAAAGGAGTGTTTCCTTACATTTTGCAAAGTAACTTATTACAGAAAAAAAGCAAATATTTTTATAAGACAGAAAAAAAGAAAGAAAAATTGCCAAGAATTTGAATTTATTGACAGATTCTAAAAATAAGATGCCAAAATAGGAGATTTTATGTTGGCCTGGTTTAAAACTATAGCAAAACCTTGCATTGAACGGGTAATAAAGATAGAAGTTGAGCATTATATAGGTTTTTATCGAAGAATCAATTCAACTAACTTCAATCAATTTTATTCATATGTATAAGATGTTTGATGTTGTATAAGATGTAGTCGTTCCCCATGGCGGGAGGATAATTAAAGAGTCTAATTAAAAACATAAATTAACTATAAATTTTTCGATTTTTTGATCACCTACTGATTGTTGTTAATATGCTGTAGCGAGATGCAATAGTTATGGATTGTATGCTAAATAGGAAATTAATAGTAAATTGTATATTTTTTAATGTTTAATTAGTAAATTTTAAACAGCGTTTTAATAATTTTCAGTAGTGGCAACAACCTCCCTTTTGTTCGTTACTCTTTCGAAGGGAAAGAGGTTTGACCCAGTCTTCATTGTTTCAAAGATAGCTTTTTTCTGAAATTTTTTATTTTTTATTTTGCAAGTTATAATGATGTAAAAAGGTTTATTTTTTTTTAAATATTTTTCTCAAAACATTCAATGTTTTTTATAAGTCTACCCAAACAAATTGACTTATCAGTTAGGATGGTAAAAAAATGAAGAATTTTTTCTTTTTTTTCTTATAGTTGGTCATGGCAATAGTGATGGAGCTAGAGCTCAAATTGACACCTTTCAAAAGTATGTAGACGATGTGTTTTTTCACATAGAACGAGTAAAGATACGATTTCCGGATTTGCCTGTTTACATTTGTGGTCACTCTATGGTAATTATATAGTGAAGTGCTCAAAATTAAAAAAAAGCGAACACCTTAATAACTTTCGTTTTAGCGATTAGATTTTTACGTGTCTACACAATCTTAAGAGGACTCTGTATCACGGGCAAAACACTTCATAGCAATTTTTTTTTGTCAACTACATAGATAATTAAAAATTTGATTACTGAAAAAATTAGTTCAAATAAGCCAACTATGAATTTTTAAATGCTGTTTTTTTTTTCTTTTTTTTTTTCCCGCAAAATATTAATCAGACAGAAAAAGTATCCTCTGAATAAATTTTTTTTGGTTTCAACCCTCTAAATATGGGAAGTAAAGCTCTGAATATATATATATATATATATATATACATATATAAACTAAACTCAGCGGCACGACAGCCCTGGAGGGCCAAGGCCTTCTGTGCCCATCTCAATTTTCTTCACCTTGGGCTCTGGGGTGCAGGAGCAGATGTTCCGGTCAGGTGGTCAGCCGAACGCGGAACCCCCAGTGATGGAACCAATGAGTTCCCAAGCATGCTTGGTACTCATTTATCGACCCACTGAAGGGATGAAAGGCTGAGTCAACCTTGCCCGGCTGAGGATCGAACCAGGGACCTGTGGCACGACAGCGCGAAGCGCTACAGCACAGCCACCGGGCGCCTTGTGTAACATACTCAGTACCCAATAAGCGAACCCGGATTGTGAGCGCAGNATATATATATAAAATGTAAAAATTTGCATAGCTTATAAATAAAAATTTTTTGACCATTGCAAAAAATAGTCAAAATAATAAATATTAATAAAGATGTATCTTTCACATCAATCTACCTTTCAATAAACGAGATTTAGATTTGCTTGAAAAATTATTTATTTCTTGAAACAATTCCAGCGACATGGTGAAATGCATAAAAATTGAAATTATCATTAATTAGCTTAAACTTTTTTTACATACAATTATCTTTGAATAAACAAATTTTATAATTGTGTGAAATTTTTTATTATCTTAAACAATTCGAGAGATATGGTGAAATACTCAAAAACTGGACTCTGAGGGTTTTTGATTCCAACGATTTTACAAGCACGTACATCGCATGTACTAGATGGGTCTTAAGCGAGTCGAGGATCAAATCCCGGTCCGATTCCCTAACTGCTGGGCTACCACGGCCCTCACTAAGGAAGACTTTAGAATTTAGTAGTTAAGTAATAATTAAAGTATATAGAGTTTTCTTAAAATTTAACCTACTTCTCCAATACTTTAAAGCATATTGCCTATTTAATAAATCTTATAGACAAATGATTTAATTGCTATTTTGTGGAGGTGAGTAAAAGAAATCGCTTTGAAACTTTTAAAAATAAGATTGATACTTTAAAAGGTAAAATTTACTATCACTAAGAAAAATTACCTCCAATAACCGTACAAATTGGCAGGTATGTTTGAGGGTTAATAATTCAAATCCGATGAAAAAAGAAATGCATGGTTATTTTGGGTTTATGTTTTTGTGTCTGATTTCGTAATTTAAAATATCAACTACAAAAATTTCAGGTTAAATTTTTGAATCATTAAAATTGCATCAACAATAAAAATCTGGTCAAAAATAATGGAAGTTCTAGTTTTTTAATTTTGTGCACTATCCATTAGATTTTTCAATGTTAAAAAGTATGTTCGTGAAATATTATTTTAACTACTCTTCAATTTTTCAAACTTACCTTTAATGCATGCATTTTTAATATATGTATTTTTAATATAAGTAAGAGAGGGTTAGAGTGAACAAATAGAATATTTCTGTTAATTTTTAATCAAAATTCTTTATAAATTTACGCAGATTGCCAAATTTGTGTTACAATTGCATATCTAATGACAAGACAAAATACTACTCACATGTCCATAAATTAAGGATAATTCAAAAATTGAGCTCCCAAGTAAATATTTCAGTTATCGAATTATCACACACATCTCCAAGAATAATATGAAAATTACAAAAAGCTACCAGATGAGGCCGATAGTACCTCACAATGACGAGAGCGTAAGAGAGGGGTATACAAGAAATGGTGCCAGAGAAGTAAAATTGTTCATAAGTGTTCAGTAAGCCGCTCAGTGGATTAACTAAATAGTTTTGACACAGCGGAAGCAAGTGGAGGTTTTTTAACGTGGTAGAATTATCAGCCGACTGTAATGTGGGAGTACTCAGATGGAAATATCCGAGAAACTTAGAAGTACATGAAGATTTGCCTCCAAGCTCTGGCAACTGTTTTAAAATGATGGAAATGTCAGTAGACGTTACAGTACAGGTCACACATACCCGAAAGCTTAATGAATACTGATATTTGGCAGTAACTTCCAAACGAAGCGGACGGAGCACAGCATCCGACTTGTCTCGTCATCTATCTGCAGCTGCGGGTACCACAGTTTCAAAGAAAATTGTGTTCAGACGTTTGGGAAATATTGGTCCATATGCTCACTGGCTGATAGATGTGTTCCACTCACGGCAACTTACTGTCACCAGCGATTAGTCTGGAGTAGAAAACTTGCATTGCGGACATTGTCACAGTGGGCTTGTATAATGTTTTCCGACAAGTCTAGGTTTAAGTAGCAGTCTGATTCACGTCAGACTTTTATATAGAGAGTGCAAGGTACCCATTGCCATCAACACAACATCATTGAACAGCATCTTTATGGTGGTTCAGGATTGCTGGTTTGAGGAGGAAGGAGGAATTATACTGCGCTCCAGAACAGATCTACATGTTCAATTGGAAACAAGACTGGCCAAATATACCGTGACTTTATTCTGGAACAACATGTACGTTTGTTTAGGATGCCATGGGGCTCATGGAAGGAGTTTATGGAGGAGAACGTCCGTCCTCAAAGAGCAAATATCTTAGGCAAATGCCTTCAATCTGAGGATATGACCCGTATGGAAAGGCCAGCATTTTGACCCGTTTTAAATCCGATAGGGCATGTGTGGTACATGCTTGGCCGACGAGTTGCAACCCATTATAACCAGCTCTTCATGTGTACCGGAACTTCGGAAAGCGTTGCTTGCAGAGTGTAGTAAGCTTCCCTGAGATCATGCCTATAATCTGATACTCAATTTGCTGCGGATTGAGTTTAATAGCTTGGGAAACATACAACGCCTTAACCACCATACCATCCACGTAATATTAAGTTTTTAGAAATAATATATTTTTTATAATTACTCCAGGGGGAATCGCAGTTTTAATAAATCGTATCATACATACACCGTATTTTTGTTCTTTATCTTTTGCTTAATAAATGAGCTTTATGAAAAAGTCATGTTTGATTTGTGTCTGAACAATTATTTGCCGGAACCCGCATTAACCTTAATGTATGGGCATAAGTGTGGATTGGTACTCAGAAAATAAATAAAAAAAAAGGTTTATATGGTGGAAAAGTAAGTTCTTAATATGCTTTTTATTTGTGAATTTAAACTATTTTTACTCAATATTTTCAATAATCGAAGGTATTATGTTACATATGAAAATGCTTATTAAAACTTTTATAGTCATTACAATTTGTTTTTCTTTAATTTAGAAATAATGAGTTTCTACGAAGAATTTTTCGACACAGCTAGTCAGGACGCATAGTGGTAGGATTAGTGTGGACATCTCAATATTAAAAGGGGTCTCACGGTTCTTAGAAAAATTTTATAGTGGTAGTATAATCACGTTAATACTAGCAAGAATTTCCTTTTTAAGGTACCATTTTAACATTTTAAGGCTTGGCAAGCCTGAATTTTGATACAGATATATTTTAGTCATCAAATTTATTAATACTCAAGGTTTGTTTTTCAATCATTAATACCATTAGATTGTTTTAAGACAGCATCCTTATTTATTTTTATGTGAAAATGATGTTTACAAGCTCATCCCTTATTAGGGTATTTATTTTATAAATTAGATCATTTTCAAAAAGTATTTAATTTATTTATTGTTTTAATTTTTTTTTACTTCATTCATAGTATTATATTAATTCTTATTTTGAGGAATATTTATGAAAAAAAATGCTGATTAAGGGCATTTTAAGGGTCTTTGCCTTGTAAATGCAAAATTTAGATTTCTCATGAAATATTTTTGCAGCAGTTGTGAAATGTGACCTATCGACATTCTATTACTTATGTTTTTCCGCTAAAAATTAAAAAAAATGTGCAACAAATTAAACAACATTTTCGGAGCAATTTCTAATTAATAGCAAAATTATTATTTTAAAATTTTGAAGAAAAAAAAATTAAAAATTGTACAAGTTATGAGCATTTTAAATAGTTCTTTCATACTACGCATGGGCTGAAAAAATTTTTTTTTCTTCATAATTTCATAATGAATCTTATTTGATAACTAATGAAAAAAGTTTCATTTGAATATCTTGAAAGTTTAAAAAGCTTCAAATAACATCTTCTTGCTAAGAGAAGAGTAGATTGAAAGTAGTTATATATATATATATATATATATATTTTACATCTTCGCGATTTTTGTTAACTGTTTTATTATTGTACTTCTAAACCTAAACCGTGTTTTAATTCACGCCGGTAAGTTTGACATTTTTCTTTTATTTCATGAGTTTTTACTACATAAGGTTTTTTACGATATCGACACATNTATATATATATTACAATTGAATAAAATTGAAACTTACACATAACATTGCTTGTCGTCTTTAAATACTCTATACATTTTCAATACGATTTGAAAAAAACAATGTTTTTTTATTTTAATCTGAAAACCTTGTAATAATTGTTTCCCCTTATTTATTTTATTGCTGCTTTATCAATTTGCATTATGTTAACGATGACATATTTTTAAATAAAAAAAACTAAATTGAAAGAAAATCTTTTTTTAAAATATGAGTTTCAATCAAGATAACAAATTGTTTGACCAGAAGTAAACAAAAAGTGCAATTTAAATATTCACCCTGTTTTCTGAGCAAGAATATAACTTGTTATATTCTTTAATATCGGAAGATATCACGTACATTTATGGCGTGTCCATTGGGACTTTCGTTCTCTCAGTTTGCTAAAATTCAATTGATAGGTGGTGATCAAATCTGAGAATGTAATTTTTTTTCCATCTCAAATTACTTATTTCTTTCGAAATTTGGCTCGAATGAGACCACCAGCGTGTACCATTCAGTCCAATGCCAGGTATTTATAATCGAATAAGTACATCGATCTGTGAGGTTCTGTTTCAATTTAGATTCTAAAATAAATATTTTTCGCTTTAAAATTTACGTTAAGTTTCATTTATCAGGCTAGTTTATCACCGGAAAACACAAATAATATTTTAAATGACTTTAAATGCTTCAAAAGCTAGAAAGTTTTTAATCTATTGAATGCATAAATAAGTTGACCAGTTTCATTTTACTTATCAAACAAGAGCAGACTTTAAATGCTTCTAAGACTTGACAATTTTATCTATTAAATGCAAAAATTAAGTTGACCCGTTTCACTGACTTATCTAGCAAAATCAGACTTTAAATGTTTCAAATATTTGAAAATTTTTTTTCTTCTATTGAATGCATAATTGAGTCGATCAGCTTTACTTTACTTATCTAACAAAGATCATCATGTGATCTCATTAGTTTCTGTTTGTAAACATAACTTAAAAGTGACCTAAGATTTCTCACCAATATGTTTCAAATTCCAAGGGTAATTTTAGTTTTTTTTCTTCCTCTTCCAGGGTGGCACTATTGCGATTTTAGCTGCATTGCGAAGTCCAAATTATTTCGATGGATTGATATTGATTGCCCCTGCTGTCAAAACTAATCCTGCACTAACCACTCCTTTTAGGGTATGAACAAGTTTCGTGCACTCTACAAACATAATTTAATATTAAAATGTGATATATTGTTGTATGAACATAAAATTGCAGTAACAACTTTCATGAAATGTAGCATAACATAAAGTTAAGATTGAAAGAAAATATTTTTATTACTGCATTATTATCTCCGTGCAATAATTAAATATCAGTAATGTATTATTGTTTTGCATTAAAAAAAATGTAAATTTTCGAAATTTAGTTTATTGATTTCGGATAATAATTTCTCTCCTGTATGTCTTGTGAGGAATTTTACTTTGAGCAAAAAAAGCATGATTGTGGAATCATGTAAATTTACTAATTTTATTATGCCCTAAACCTCGAGTAAAGTACCGTTGTAAAAATATCGTATGGTAAAAATTTATTATGGTTAAAGTCACCAAAAGAACCACATGAAGGAAAAAACCGAGTGAACAAATATCTTCATGATGAGTGCAATATTATTACATAAATTATTTTACTCTGCCACTTGTCTTTGCAAGTTCTTGTCTTTCGCGTATAATTTCAGTCTGAACCTTTAAATATCTAGGGGAGAGTGGGGTCAATTGTAACAGGGTACGATTGTAACAGAGCAAAAATTTCGAGTGTCGATTTCTAGATTTGGTTCCTAGGTGGCGCACAAGGTGTATTTAATAAATCTACATGTACACCCCTGCTGGCAACCATTTTTATGTACTTTTGAAAGAGTTACATCACAAAAGATATTTTCACGCTACGTAAGTACTTTTTTTGGTATTAGAATATTATATTGTAACAAAGTAATTTTGTTTAAACAAATAAAAATTATTAACCGAATATGTAAGTGGACACCTTAATTAACATTTAAAAAAAAAAAGATTAGTTTTGTTAATTAACTAGCATTGTTTTTAACAAATGAAGCTGAAATGGCGTCTTGGGGACAATTGTAACAATAAGTAAAGGGACGATTGTAACAGCTGAAAATAAATAATCTTATGTTTACAAACCATTACTTAACTCTTTAAGAACCACCAATAGTTTCCTATATCATTTATATTATGTTGCATGTGCATTATTTTATTTGTCACCTTTCACAGCATAAATTAAAATTTTTAACCCCTTAAAGTTAAAAGTTTAACCCTTTAGGTCTCTGCTCATTATTATTTTTACTCCTAAAATATCACTACTATTTTGATCAATAAAAAAATATATCACAACTATGATAATATGATAATTAACTATGTTTTAGTTGAATTTATGAACTGTTACAATTGACCCCGTAAGTGGGGACAATTGTAAAAAGTGCACGACTGTCAGAAATTGTTAATAACTAATATAGTAACATTTAAAATAAGGTATTTTTTTTTCTGGTATAGGATAGTCTACTTTACTCGTCTGTCAATTAATACTAATAATATATTGGATTTTTTGTTAGTTAAAAATAGTTAAGTAAAAAATGTTACAATTGACCCCACTCTCCCCTACTGAAAAATATCAGGTGTCTTAAAACTGGACGAAGATTTGAAGAATTAATTGATGAAAAGAAGAAAAAAAAATTAAAGAACTAGAAATGTATGTTTTGCTGTATTCTGTTTAGGAAACTAGTTTATTTTTTCTCGCCAGTTACTAAGTTCGTAAGAGGTGGGTGGCTTTGATAAGAGAAAAAGCTAGAAAACAAGGTTTTAAAATTGCCACCAGCGCAGCAAGTTGAGGACTATATAAAAAAAGTTTAAATATAAAAACCATTATAAGACACAAAATAAACCACAAACATTTCAGTCCGACATCCAGGGGAAAACATAGCCTTATGGTTTTTTCAGGCAGCAGCGCCATCTATTGATGAACTTTTAACTAAATTTAAATTTCTTGAAAAAACTTGGTTATTTACTTAGATCTCGGTTATTTTTGAGAAAACCTGAATAAACCAAAGTTATGCGTAAAAAAATAGGGGTGAATTCTATGTATTTATATTTCTTTTGTTTATTCTTATTAATAACATTTGAAAATGCATTTTCTTAGGTAAATCTGGTTAAATACTTACGTGTTATCTTCCCTCGATTTCCTGTGGCGTCTCTGGATTTGAATCTCTTAAGCAGGTGTCCAGAGAGGGTTAAGGAAATGAAAGATGATCCGTATAGATATAAAGGATACTGTAAAGCTGGATTTGGTGCTTCCTTAATTGAAGCAATGGAGGTAAGTTGGCGAATGAAATTTCTTGTTAAAAAATTAATAAGTTGGCGAATGAAATTTCTTGTTAAAAAATTAGCAAAATAGTTTGACGAATTCTTATAAGTCAGTAATTTTAAAACTGTTATAATTATCTTTTAAACTGATTTTAATAATATAAATCTTCAATGGGATCATGTCAATTTTATGGGATCAGTACTTACAGCAGAAGTTTGCTTGAAAAAGTTGTAAGTCAAAAAGTTTAGCACGTTTTAAAAGATCGTAATCTCAAGGGTCATTTATTATTGAAGTCTTTGTCATTCATTATAATTTGTCTCAATCATAATAGGTGTGAGAAATTTAACGGTTAGTGTTTTTCTGAATGAGAGTAATTCTGGAAAAATACACATTTTGACGTCTTTGAAAACTTTTAGAAACAATATACAGATTTACATTACAATGCAAATTTCTCATACCGATTTATAAATATTAACTTACATCGAGTGCTTATTTTTTAAAACAGCAAATATTTTTAGAACTACCATAATTAAAAAAAATAAAGGTTCAAAATTATTCAGCTTGTAAATATTAATAAAAAATAAAAATAATATCATTTGAAAATATGCAGGATGTAAAAACTTAATCAGATGTAAAAACTTAATCTGATATGTATATTTGTTCAAAACTTCCGTAATCAATGGTGCTTTTACAAATGTAAAATAGGTATTACCCACCTATATACAGGTATATAATTAGGTAGGCAATGGTTATTTCGCAGCATTTTATTTCATAGTATGCTAATTCATAAATTGCACAGGTCGTTTCAAATTATTTGCCTCCTCTTAGTTCTATTAATTTAAAACCTATTATCAAAGCATTATCACTTTTTCATTCATTTTAGGAAATTGAAGAAAAGGTGTCTAACTTATCTGTTCCTTTCATATTATTACAAGGAGAATATGACAAAATCTGCATCCCAGAAGGAGCAGCGTTCTTGAATAAGAATGCAGAATCTATTGACAAAACTTTAAAGGTTTATTTGAATTTTAATTTCATCATTAATTACTAATTATTTATGTTTAAAGTTTAAGACAAAACATAAATAGAAAAAATTAAAAAAATAAACATAGTACTAGAAACCAATGTTTGTTACTTTAAACAGACGTGGTTTTTTTATGTTTGTTAATTTAATAAGATTGATTTTTTATTAACCTTAAATAAGTTATAAATTAATAAATTAAAATAATAAAAATTAATGCAATAAGACCTAACTACCCGTGGTCTTCCTATAGTCGATCAATACGTTCCATATACTTCAAAAGTGTGTAACAAAATTGAAAATCTTAGAGATTCTATTTCTTCGATGTTTTTTCGAAACTTAATACTGCTGAAAGTTATATCTGATACTATTGAGTCGATTTTTACTGAAGTTGTAGTTGAGTTGTGTTTTGTCAAGTGAACTGTGGAATACGGTTCAATTAGTTTATCCGTGCCATCTATCACCAGAGACGGGAAAAAGTAGACTTGTTTGTGTTCAGCAGCTCTGTGAAGCTGCTATCTTTGCTTGGATGACTGTTTCTTTTCCCAATTGCCCAGAGTCATTAATTTAAGAGTGCAGGAGGCTAGATATCTCTCGTGTTGAAGGAATGGAGGACATATTGTGATGTAAACGCTTGAATTCGAACTTCGCATCTCCGAACGAGCTACTTACACTATTTTCAAAGTATACTTCGTTTCATTTTCTTATTTCCTTATAATGGTTTATTCTTTATAAAGGTTTTGGAGTTTCAAACCGAAATTTTTGTGAATGAATTGTCAGATTTGAGCCACATGCCTCGACTGTTTGTGCTCTTTTGTCTTTTTCTATGTCATGAATTTTCAATCTTTTTATCACTAATCTTCTTAGCTTAAGTTATTAAGCATATGACACACTCCAATTTTTACGAGTCTGTTTTGTTCACGCTATCCACGAGCTTTTTACTTAGGAAACAGTAAGAGTCGTACTCTATCAGAAAAATTGATTCAACTTTTAACCATAATATATATACACGAAACCAAAGTAAGTAATCAAGTCTAGTAATCAAGTTTAAGAAGTACAATTATTATGATTTAACTTAGCGTAAAATTAAGGTTACTAAAAGTTTGAACGCTGTTATGGTTACAAAATGCCGAGCAGTGTAATTTGCTCCATTGCATGTGGCAAGGGTTTCGTTGAAAGGTTACGTCAAAATCTGACTTCCTAGAAAAGCAACAATTTGATTTCAACATAAAAAAAAGTTTTATTAGTTCAGTTATATAATAGTAAGAAAAAAGAATAAAAGTTTAAACATCCTTTTTAGCGCAATAAAAGTTAAAACTTCTTTTTAGCGCACTGCGAAAAAAAAATACAGTCAAAACTAACGGAATATGGTAAAAAGTACCATGTTTTTGGCTCTATAGGAAAATCACAAATGATAATTTTTACCGAAGCTCTTTGGTAATGATTTTGGTAAAATTAGAAATACAATATGGTTTTATATATGATAAAATCTGATAATTTTAACATGATATTTTAGAGCATGCATTGCATGATAACCTTTTATTCGGTTGAATTCAGTTATGTATTTTTTTACTATATGTGTATTAATAAGAACAAAAATTTTGAATGCCAGAATTTCTTTTAAACCGTTACCATGTGAATGGAAAAATTACCAAACGAATAGTTTAAATACCATATAATTTATTTAGCTGATATTTTGTATTTTTTTAAATTTTTTTTTCAAAAACCAAAAATGTTATTGCTATTCAATACGATAGTTTTACCATAATTGTTTTCCCCGTGCGCTCTTATTTGGTAAGATGACAATTACGAGGTAAGTTGTATAACATACAATTGGTTGTTAGCTACGCCAAAAGAAATAGAAGTTTCTTCATGGTAAGGAATATTTTCATAAATTTTGATTTACATTTATAGTTAGATCTACTTAGTTATAAAGACTAAAATTCGATGAATGGTAAGTAACTGTTTTTGATTTTCAGAATGTTTTTTTCCTCAATAACTTATGTTTCTCAATAACATCTCTCAGTAACATCTCAAGAACTTATGATAAAGTATCCTTCAAATAAGAAATGTTACACGGAAGAGCCAAACAAACTGGTATACTTGCCTAATATCGTGTAGGGCCCCCGCGAGCACGCAGAAGTGCCCCAACACGACGTGGCATTGATTCGATCAACGTGTGAAGTAGTGCTGGGGATATCTTCTGAACATCACGTTGCAAGGCATCCCAAATATGTTCAATAATGTTCATGTCTGGGGATTTTGGTGGCCAGCGGAAGTGTCTAAATTCAGAAGAGTGCTCTTAGATCCACTGTGTAGCAATTCTGGACGTGTGGGGTGTCGCATTGTCCTGCTGAAATTGCCCAAGTCCGTCGGAATGCACAATTGACATAAATGGGTGCAGATGATCAAACAAGATTCTTACGTACCCTTCACCTGTTAGACTCTTATCTAGACGTATCAGAGGTCCCATATCACGCCAACTGCACACACCCCATACCATCACAGAGCTTCCACCAGCTTCAACAGTCCCCTGTTGACATGTAGGATTCATGGATTCATGAGGTTGTCTCCATACCCGTACACGTCCATCAGCTCGATACTCGTCAGACCAGGCAACGTTTTCCCAATCGTCAACAGTCCAGCGTCGGTGTTGACGGGCCCAGGCAAGGCGTAAAGCTTTGTGTCGTGAAGTCAACTAGGGTACACGAGTGGGCCTTCGGCTCCGAAAGGCCATATCGATGATGTTTCGTTGAATGGTTCGCACACTGAGACTTGTTGATGGCCCAGCAATGAAATCTGCTGCAGTTTGTGGAAGGGTTGCACGCTTGTCACGTTTAATGATTCTCGTCAATTGTCGATGATCCCGTTCTTGCATGATCTTTTTCCGACAGCAGCGATGTCGTAGATTTGATGTTTCACCGAATTTCCGATACTCATGGTATACTCGTGAAATGGTCGTAAGTGAAAATCCAAATTTCATTGCTATTTCGGAGATGCTATGCCCCATCTCCCATGCGCCGACTATAACACCACGTTCAAACTCACTTAAATCTGTATAACCTCACTTAAATCTGTATAACCTGGCAGTAACCGATCTAAGAACTGTGCTAGACATTCGTTGTCTTATATACGCGTTGCCGATCGCAACGCTGTACTTACATACTCATGCCTGTACCAGTTTTTTGGCTCTTCAGTGTATATAATAATACTAATGCTAGTTTTAACGTTTATTGAGTCACATTGTTGAACAACTATCAAGCATATGTCAATAAATAATTATTGCACAACTTATGTGGTCTTTCATCAAGCTGCGAAAACACTGTTGGAATTTCCATTAAAAAGTTAGGGTAAAATGATCGGAAGCAGTCGGACTATCTAATTAACCGAAAAAAATTAACGTTTCGAGACTTTGACGGATTTGAGACCGTTCACAACTGACATGGTCTCAAAACCATAAAAATGAAATTTAACTGGATTAGGTGGAGATTGAGTATATATATATCTCNTATATATATATATATATATAAACTGCTGTTTCTGAATTGTTTGGTTAAATTAAAATATAGCTAAGTTTAAAATTTTCCTTTGAGATAATTTCCTTCTGTTTTAACTTCATTTTGAAATCATCTCATATATTTTGTTCATTTTTTTTAATACTTTCGTTTATCTACAAATGTTTGGCAGCGTCTGGTGAGTTGAGACCATAAACAATTAAAAAAAATTTTCCCCTTTATTTGGAGAATTTTTCAGGTTCCTTTATTTATTTTTTTGGTTTGATGAAGCAGGAAAAGAAAAACAAACTTACCTAATTCATTTATATTTTTACAGGATGTTTTAAAATTCGACCAAGAAATTCAGAGGGAAGATATAAGGTATAAAGGGGGCGAAAACTTACCATAGTACATGGAGTCGCTACCCATGTTGAGAAGGTGAAAACCACGGAAAACGTTTGCAACGTTGAATTTGTTCGAAACCTGCATGGGTATTTTGTGATTTTCATCCTTTCGTTATATGCTGAATTTAGACTATCTTCATTCCTTTTATCCCTCCTTTTAATTTGCCTATAGAGTTATATAGTTTGATGGGTTTTTCCAGAATTAAACATTTTATAACTAGTGGTTTCACAATATATTCCTTACTATTTTCTATTTACAGTCGATGAATGGTTAAAATAAAGGAAAATATTTATAAGAATTGTAAGGTAGAATATCATTGATACGACACTCATAATTTATCCTATCCTTTAACATATTGCAGAAAAGTACACTAATTGAAATTCACGATTTTATATTAATTGAAAAATTTTGATAACTTATGTCCCCTTCACAAAACATTATGCATGAATAAATGAATAAAACATAGGTTCCATTCAATTTGAAAATCTGAATAAAATTTTTTCGTTTAATTTAACATAAGAATGAAGGAGACTTAATTATTTGAAAAGTATTAGCAAAAACTTTTAAAAAATTAATACATTTTTGAAAAAAATAAATTTTCTTGTCAAACTTGCTGTGGTTGGTATTTAACTATTTTAATCAATAATTTTTGTCCAAAAAAACTTTCTTACAGATATATCCTTGTGCTTATCACAGTCTTCTGTTTGAACCTTATGGAGTTGCGGAACAAGTCAAAAGCGATATAATAGAGTGGTTGAACAATCGAGTACGATCAAATGTTTCGGATCAAGACACCAAAGATCGCTAGAATCAAGATTTTTAACTCATGGTTGCAGAAATCAACCAAAAACTTAGTCTAATATTCTGTGTTCATTCATTTAAGTTTCTTCTGTTATATATTTTCATTATTTTTTTTATCATTTTGTATATTTAAAGTATTTAAATAAGCATCCTAAATGTTTCGTTTGAAGTGTTTAGTATCATTTCAATTTTTTATCGCATTTCTTTTTATGTTTTTGAGAAAATTCCAAACTGCAATTATAAATCATATAATTTAATACATGCCACATGACTTTTTCCATCAATAAAAAAACAAGTCGTAGAAAACCAATAGTCACCGTAGAACCATAGTCAGGCGTAGAAAACCATTAGTACATATCGCTTACATATCTTTTTATTTTTTATTATTTTCAAAAACAATGAAATTTCAACTGATTTCTTCTACTTTACTGTCAATGATCATCACTCATTAAATTATTTTGCCCATCTTCCTTAGCTGTCAAAGAAGTGCTTTAAGTTCTAAGATTAATTTTAGAGCAAATTGGGGATAATATTGAAAGTTCTAAAAACTAAAGCTCCCAAACGATTTGTTCAATTTTCAATTTCATATTTTGCAAATCAAGCAACAATACGTCAATATTTTCAGACACTTCTAAAAATTGAAAAAAATTATTCTTATGTAAAATATGGAAGATAAATTAAAACAGTAAAAATAAACTATAAATGTAGTATTTACTTTAATTATTTATGTAATTATAAAGTTTAACTTTGAAACCTTTTTTTGTGTTTACATGTCAATTTATTATATCAGTCAGAGCAAAAAATCAAACATTTTTAAAACGAATATAGTTATAGCTTCAGGTACTGTATCTAGCTTTTCTAGTATGACCAAGTCTTCCAGCTTTGTGTCCAGTGTTTTACCAAGTGTAGTAATCAGCTTTTTGGCTAGTTTTTATTTGCAACTTTGGATTCATCATAACCAATTCGAAACTTTGATTCATTTTGGCATTGGTGTAGTGCAAATGGTAAGACTTAGCCTTTTGAAAAAAAAATGCGTCTATGTACACCATGAAAACTGAGTCTAAACTGAATTAAAACTAATACCCTCACTCCCTCATTTTTACGTACAGTGCGCAAAAAATCGCTTTTTCAAATTTTCAGATTCAGTCCAACAGTCAGCTTCAGATTTGCAGATTCACCAAATCTTCCAGCTTTGTGTCCAGTTCTTTACCAAGTGTAGTAATCAGCATTTTGGCAAGTTTTTCCTTGCAACTTTGGATTCATCATAACCAATTCGAAACTTTGATTCATTTTGGCATTGGTGTAGTGCAAATGGTGAGACTTAGCCTTCTGAAAAGAAAAAAAAAATGCGTCTATGTACACCATGAAAACTGAGTTTAATCTGAATTAAAACTAATACCCTCAATCCCTCATTTTTATGTACTGTGCTCAAAAAAATCGCTTTTTCAAATTTTCGGATTCAGTCCTAATGGTTTGAGAGGTTGACCTGAAATTGGGTAAGTAATTAGTGCAGTTTAATAATTAGTCAGACTCATAAATATATTAAACGTTATTTTCAGTTACAGTATGGAATTATCTTTGTATAAGGAATTGTATAATTGTGCGAAAGTTTTTTCAATTCGCTTAATTCAACTCGAGATATGGCAAAATACGTAAGAAAATAACATAAAAAATAACGTAAAAAATAACAATTATATTACATAAAAAATATCAATAAATAATATATATATACTAAAAATTATCTTTAAATAAACTGTATGCAAAAATATTCGCATAAAATGTTTTTTGAGATATAGCGAAATAGGCAAATAGTAAAATTAATATTAAGGTGTTCAAACTATTGGGACAAATTTCCCGATTTCGGCTTTCCTCTATATTTTTGGGGTAAGAAAATCAAATCCGTCGAAAAAAAGGCATGTTTATTCAGAGAAAGTGCGTTTATGCGTCTTATTTCGTAACTTAAAATATTGTCTGTCTAGCATACTTGAGGTCACGTCCTCAAATTATTAAGATAGAGTCCCAGAACGTGAAGATCAGATTCGATCAAAAGTTATTCAGGCTGGTCCGTTTATTTTTGTGAACTGTACGTAAAACTAATATTTTACCAATGCGTATAAAATTTCTTACAAGTTAATTTAAACTAGCTAATATAATACAGTTCAATCATAATTTCATCGAAAAGTAATAAATTTTATCTCTAATTTTGTATTTCACCTATGAACAGAATAAATTCACTCAATGCATAGCGCACTAAATAAAAAGTGAACACTTTAAATAACTTTTGATCTAATGATGAGCTTTTCACGTACTGAATTTCACTCTAAATGTTTTGAAGGCCCTACCTTAATATGCTAATTAATAAATGCAGACGATGTTCAAAGTTGCGAAATCAGATAAATAATCGTACTTCCTCTGAATAAATATGCAATCTTTTCGACAGATTCAGATTATTGGCCCTAAAAATAATTTGAGGAGGGTGATCCTTGATTTGGAAAATATGGTCTTAATAGCTAGGTCAGGAAAGCGGTAGAGAGTTTAGACCTTTTAATGTTAAATTTACTTTTTGCGTGTTTCATCATATTTCGAAAATTTTTTGAGCGAACCTAAACTTTTTTTCTCATAATTATAATATATATTTATCTAAACATAATTTCATGCAAACTATAATGTTAAATAATTATTTATTACTGTTAATGTTTTATAAATAGACCGTCAAAAATGAGTTTTTAGATGCAATGCAAAAAAATTTAAATCATTTTAACGAATGCAATTATAAATGACAAGAGGCAAAATTTGAGCGCAATCTGTTGAATAGTTTCTGATTTATCAAATTTTGAAATATCTGATAAAACTGAATATCTTAATGTCTGATTTCGTTAGAATTTTTCGATTTGACATTTAAAATTACATTCTTTAAAATAAAACAAAAATTTTATCAACTTACATTTTGAATTTTTTTTTACTTTAATTAAATAGAATAATAAAAAATCATTATTAAAATTTTTTTTTATTATTCTATTAAATCCTTATTAAGAGTAATTTTTTTTGGCATGTATTACCTTTGGATAAACGAATATAATAATTGTGCGCAAAAATGCTTTGATTCCCTCAAAATATGGCGAAATAATATCGGTCTCTTTAGTAAACTATTTAAACCATATTTTCCAGATTAAGGCTACCCCACTTGGATTCAATAATCCAAATCCAGAAAGGAAGGTATGCTTGTTTATTCAGTGAAATAATGTTTTTCTCTCTGATTCCGAAACTTCCGTTTTTCACTGCACGTGTCGTCTAAACTAATTAATAGCGTATTTTTGGTGAATCCCTCGAATCAATTAAATTGAGCCTTAAATTGAGCCCTGAAAATCCAAGCTTTAGATCAAAAGTTATACTCACAGTGTTCACTTTTTAACTTTGTGTACAGTACAAAATAGCAAAGCAAAATAAAATAAGAATATCTTTTAACTTATTTTAGTCTTGACAGTGTAATTTGGTAATTTGCTTATTATTATTTCAAAAACTATTTCATTTTTGTAAAAAAAAAACTTTTAAATACTATGATTTTGGTGATTTTTCGCATTTTGTTCACTTTTAGATATTACTTAAATATAACCTATTCTTTAATTTTCAGTTATGCGTCATACCTTAGATTGTTTAGTTCCCAATCCAGATTTAACTATTCAAATTTTCCGCAGTATATTTTTCCCCAACACTTCAACATTGATTATTTGGAATATTAGTTTTTTTTTCCAGTCTCCGATACCAATATCTAAATTTTCCAACTTAATTAACACCGTTGCTTTCAAACGTCGAAATCTTTTTACTACTTTCATTTTATCGTTGCGTATTCCAAATGTGTTAAATGGCTACCTCTTACAACTTTTCCGACTTTTCAAATCTTGTTTGACTATTTGATCCTTTGGCAGATTTTCTAAACTTGTCATACTTTACTAGTTGTTTATGATAAGAGTCATATTGTTTTTTTTCTGCTAGTTTTCGTACTAATTATCAGATTTTCTATGTTTTTCTGATCGTATTTCTTGCAACTACATGATAATTTCATTTTATTCCCTGTCATGTTTCCTCCAACTGATATTTTCAGTTTCATATTATTTTTCACGCCGCTATGGTCTCCATTCGTTTTACCCATTTTTTGCTAATAATTCAAGTTCATTATGCAACATCAAAGGGTCACCTACATATCTTGGCGAATTTGACTCCAGTTCTTGGTGAATATTCTCTCTGGTTAAACTAAATCAAAATTTGTAACACCTTATCGATGAATCCGTCTAAGTACAATTTCAAATATTCCTGTCTACAACTAAGTTATGTCAATTGACAATAATTGATGTAGACATGAACATCCTTATGTAATCACTCTCATACATTTTTAATTTCTTATCTTGTTTCTTAAATTATATTAAGTATAGCTAAGCTGATCAGAATTCCGAAAAACTATAAAAACAATCAAGTTTCTAAGAGAACATTCCAAAAACTCACCGTTTTATCTTAGCAATTTAAAAAATATATTTCTGTTATAGAATCTCTATTCTATTTGTGTTCTCAGAAAACTAAATTGGAAAAGTAAAGCAATGAGTTTTAAACATCATTTTGGAAACTTTACTACAGTTTTTCAGTTTGCCCAGGACATCGGTCAGCTTTGGCATAGCATTTGTAGATGATTCCTTCAATCACCTCTTTTATTTTTCATTTTAGCTTAGATCTTCACCTGTTAAAGTTTAGTCATTTCTTTTTGACACTCATTCTCAATTCTCTTCTTTGTCTTATACTCCACCTGACGTCATTTCATACTGCTTCTCTTATCAAACGCGCTTCTCATGCTCTTGTAATAATGTGCAATACCCTCCTTGGCACTTAGCTTAGCAAATTAGTATTACTAGCTGTCTGTTCCTTGAATGCAGTCAAATCAATCTGTGATACCATAATCGTGCTCATCTTTTTAGCTAAGATAGTCAAAGTAACTTAATACTTCTCTATCTTAAATTTTTTTCGAAAATCCTTGTCACCAATGCAGCTCTACCAGTTGGCAGAGGCATTATTTCTGTCCCTTCTTTTCCAATATTAACCTCTTACTATGCTTCGCAATTAATGTTTTGTGATGACTCTCCCTTTATTCCCGTTTAGCTTCTATTTCTGTTTGTGTCTCCA